TTATTTATATCGGCATGAAGTTTCGTTGTATTTATAGCGCTGTATGGATCGCAGTATCTTGTCTCCTGAAAAAAATATGTTATGACTAAATTTTCATCGGTTCAGATATCAGCTTGGAATACTTTCTTAAATACATTTTCTTGATTTTCATATTTTTTAATGCGATGCATGAAGTCTGGCTGGCTGAGACATCAAAAAGTTTGCGATTGCTCTTTGTAGGTCAAGGCGAAAGGGAACTCTATAATATTCAGCGAACGAGAGGGATTGATTTTTAGCCGGCCTTTGACATTCGATATAGATATTTCGTCCGTCATTGCACAATAGATGAATAAGATAAAACATAATTCTCAATTGCCTTGATATAATGGCCTGGGGATTATTACAGGGAGAGCTACGGAGAGGGAAGGGAAGGGGGGGGGGGAGACACAAGAAAGCTATTGCTATTTTTGTAAACAGAGTAACAGTATGCTGGGGAGATTATCAAACACTTGCTGCAAATTGCTACTCTGACCTTCTTTTCATTTTCTTCAGCTTGCACATATTAGATTGCACACGAGATACTATTAGATGGATGATTGTCATTTATAAATCTTCCGTCTCGGCATTTTAAAAATCGATAGAGCAAAATCGCCCTTTGATCCCAATGGTAATAAATGTCGCGGTATACTTACTCTTAAAATCAAATTACATAAAAAAGGTATTCGCATCTCTCTTATTTGATTTTTTCTTCCTATTTTTAAATATCTAAAAGTTTCCTCTCTTTATCCCCCTGAAGAGTTTGCTATATAACTTTACCCCCATTGCCCCCCCACTACCCCCACCCCCCCACCCCTTAACCCCCTCAGGGGATGCCGCCGTATGCCTTTGCTCCATTTTTGGCACGGGAGTTTCGACTTTGAAGGTGTGTATTGATCTTCGATTCTGTGCAGCGTAAAAATGAAGTATCCCATTTATCCGAGATTAAACTTTTACAAGGAACAAACTGCCGCGTGCGAAACTTATAGGGGGGAGTAGTGTCGCTGGGGGGGGGGTAGGAGGGGGGCGCCGTCTCTCACATCGTCTGACGTGTACGCATGTGCTCTCCTTCTAGCCGGTGTCTGTCTGTTCGTCTCTCTCTCTCTCTCTCTCTCTCTCTCTCTCTCTCTCTCTCTCTCTCTCTCTCTCTCTCTCTCTCTCTCTCTCTCTCTCTCTCTCTCTCTCTCTCGCCAAGGGGCCTGCAATACCCACACAACTTCTAATCGACTTAAGGATTGGCAAGGAGTCAAGTGTGAATTGTAAATCTTTGCTGAGACGAGAGGAAGGAAGGAAGGATGGAAGGGAAGAAAAGGAACGGAAAGGGAATGAAAGAAAAAAGATAGGAAGGAAGGAAGGAAGGAAGGATGGAAAGAAGAGGGGAGGGAAGGAAGGAAGGAACGGAGGAAGGAAAGAAGGAAGGAAGGAAGGGAGACGAGGATAGCTACAGGCATACTAACAGACACAGACAGGTCAAGTAACTCTCCAAGTGACCTTCTGATTCACCTGACCTGACTGAATGACGGGTTGAGTGACTGACCGACTGCTCTCACGTAAGTCACACCATCTCTATGCAGATACTTCCCCGACAACTCTTTGGAAGTAGTTAAAGTCGAGACCAAGTTCAACAATACCCCCAGCCCCCTTCGCCCTCCTTCGCCCACTCCTAATGTCAAAAGGAGAGGGAGAGGGAGAGAGGGGGAGAGGGGAGAGGGAGAAGGGAGGGGGGAAGAAAAAGAGGACGAGCACGAGAGAGGCGAGAACGAGATGAGAGAGAGTGAGAAAGCGTGGACGAGAGGGCGAGGTGGGGGAGAAAAGAAGAGACAGAGTAAAAAAAAAAAAAAAAAGAAAAGAAACAGAAATGATCGGATAGGATAGGGTGGCTATTTATTTATAGACTTACGACATCGTTTACCCAGTCGTCCGTCCCCGAGTACAGGTGCCGCGCATTGAGCTACAAGTGGCTAAGTTGCATATCCCGCCCGCATTACGCCAGCCTCGGCCGTAGCCAATTAGGGCGTCCGGATTGCAGTCGCCACTCGCTCTCACGTGGGCGGTGTAATCCCGTGTTGATGCATATTTTGTTGTGGACAGCGGCACGGGTTCGGTGTGGTCCCTTCCCTGCCTCCTGCTCCCTGCCTCTGCCGCCGAGGCCCTCCTCCTCTCGCTGCCTTCTTGCTCTTGTCCCTGTTTGCTAGACTTTTTTTCCCGATTTCCCAGCTCCGCTCCCTCTTTTTTCTGTTTCCTAGCTTCTCGCCTACCCTTGACTCCTTCTCCCTTCCTCCCTAGCCTCTTAGCTTCGCTTCTTCCTACCCCCTTAGTCCCTTCTCATCTCCCTATCCTCTCCTACTTTTGCCTCCTAGTCCCTCCTTTTCTCCGGTCCTCCTATCTCGTCCGCTACTCCCTACCGCTTAGTCCCTACCCACTCCCTTCTTCCTAGCTCGTCCCCCACCCCTGCCTCCTCCTCATCTTCTCCCTTCCCTACCTA